AAAAAAGTTACTGAAAGATAAGAAAATAAACACAAACACACAAAAGACAACAATAAACATCAACCACAAAGACACAAACATGGACCCTGAAGAGGCGCCGTCGTGTAGAAGCTTCAGCTGGACGTGGGGTTGGTTTACCAGCTTCATGTCCTCAAACTAAACAAGAATGTTTCTGCTGCTTCTGGTGAGGTTCTGGTGAGGTTCTGGAGAGGCTATGGTGAGGTTCTGGTGAGGTTCTGGTGAGGTTCTGGTGAGGTTCTGGTAGCCTCGGACTGAACTGTGACTCCAGGTTTTCAAGGCCTCCTGTTGTCCTGGACGACCAGAACCAGCTCAGAGTCGACCCGGACCAGCGACTCTCTGCTCCGTCTGTCCTGTCAGACGTCCTGCTGCCTACTGACCCTGTTCTGGGTCTAGACCAGGGATCTCCAGCTCCGGTCCTGGTGAGCTGCTGTCCTGCATTAATGGATCATTAACAGACTCGTGTAGAACTGAAGCTGTTGGAGATCCATTCAGGACAGTAGCTCACGAGGACCGGAGCTGGAGATCCCTGGTCTAGAACCTCAGACGTCCTCCTGCTGTGTCCAGACCCTGAGAGGTGCTCACCGGGTTCCCCAGCCGGTTCCTCCACGACTTCCACAGCAGCCCGTCCCGGCTGTAATTGAGGCGGTACGCTCGGGCGAACTCGTTGCCGGAGTTCCTGGCGTAGCGTCCCTGAGTGCCGACGATGGTCAGGAAGGTGAGTCTGCTGAGGTCCACCTGAGGGACGGACCAGGCAGCACGTTAGCATGATTGATAACAGGACGTTTTAGTAAAATAAAACATGTTCTGGTGTTCTGCTGCAACTTCTAAACATTTCAATGACTTCTGTTAAAAACCTGTTGTCTCTGATGAACAGATCGTCTTTCTGACACTTCTGTCCAAGTTATGTAAAAAAGTCTAAACTGCACATTAATGGAGAGACACGCTACATGCTACATGCTACACGCTACATGCTACATGCTACATGCTACACATCTGGCGTTGTGAAATAAGAAACAAGCTCTACTATTGGTCAGATCAATCAGCACAGTGTGGACGTCATAACACACATTACTCAGTTACTTTGCTCGACTATTTCACATCAATAAAAGACTAACAGAAGACGTGAACCAGAGCTGGACTTGTTCAGGATCATCTCCTCTGAGGTTATTAAAACCTGCAGCAGCATCCGACCACAGACACACAAAAGGACTACAAAGACATAAAAAAAACAACTATAAAAGCAAAAGGACCATAAAGGCA